CTGCAGTGCTGCCAGGCTTTAGGGCTCCATTTGCTCCCAACTGGTGTGGAAGGTGAAGAGCTATAGCTTATGCCCATTGTCCCCTCACCCCTTCTCTGTGGTAGCCAGGCCCAATTGAGCCTTGGTTGCTGCAGGGGTGGGTCCCAGGAGGTAGGGTGAGTTAGAGGTAGGTCAAACTTCAACACGTTTGAGAGCCCTTATATACTGTATAAGAACATTGAGGCAAACTGGCCCGTGGCTGCAGTTCTCTGTATATAGCTATAACAGGTAACTTTGAGCTCCACAGGACTTTCCTACAGGTAAACAAGGATGAGAGCTGGTTGTAAGAGTAGCCTGTTTGCGCTGCACCCAAATGCAAAATGAAGTAAACCATGGTGTGGTCTATGAAGCTAATCCCCCATACACAGTAGATCAGCACTTTTTGTTTTGGCCTCTTCACATGAAAAATGAATGAAGTTTTCCTTTCCTTGCTCCAACTAGAGTTGTGTATATCTGATGGGGAATAGGAACATTTTTCCTGGAAATGAAGAATATGGGAAGAAAGATTAAACAAGCCCTGGGATATTAGCTGTTTGTCTCTACCAAATGTTGCTGCTTCAGACACACTGACCTTAGTTTTTAAACTGGGTTGCGTGCTGCCAGAAGAAGAACAGCCAAAAGGTTCTCTGTGTCAAACTGAACACTCAAAATAAGTTTGATCCTAGTCTACCGATGCCAGATTTGTTTTAATTTGTTTTTAACCATGTTACTCGAAAGATTGCCTGAACAGAGCCTTTCGCAAGCCCATGTTAAGAAAATAAGGAGCAGAAATCTTAAATGATGTATGTTCCCTTATGGGAAAAAAATGTGCAGCAGATGGCCTTTACTCTAGGAATTTCATAATCTTCAATCATGGTAATGTTTGATACAGACATAGAAGGGACCCACCGTTCTCCTATATCTGTCAAAACACTAATGACCCTGATTGGGCAGAAAGGTGGCATACAAATTGCATAAATAATAAATAACCTTTTACAATCAAAGTGCCAAATGATGTACATTCAGAACAAGAGATTAACAAGGGAGTTGGTATAAGAGATCTCATTTGCATAACTGAAAACATACGGCTGAACATTACTGACAATTGATGTGTTGATCAATAATCCATGATATTTTTCCAGCCCAAACACTGGTTGTTAGGAGTCCTTTGGTAGAAACCTCTGTGATTTTTTAGCACACTGGTAGGAATCTGCTTGAAGTTCTTGATAACTGGCAATTGTCTGTTTTATCATTTCCTTTTCTGTAAAGAACCTCTAAGAAGCCCTTTAGTCCCATACAGCTCTTTCCTTCTGTTCCCTTCATGCATGTAAAGGTAAAGGTTTCCCTTGCTCGAAAGCCAGTCGAATCCAACTCTAGGGATGCGATGCTCATCTCTGTTTCCAAGAGCCAGCGCTGTCCAAAGACTTTTCCGTGATCATGTGGCCGGCATGACTAAATGCTGAGGCGCACGGAATGCTGTTACCTTCCCACCGAAGTGGTACCTATTTATCTACTTGCAATTTCTTGCTTTCGAACTGCTAGGTTGGCAGGAGCTGGGGCCAGAGATAGGAGCTCACTCCATCATGCAGCACTCAGGTCTCTAACTGCCGAACTACTGACCTTCAGGTCTGCAGCTCAGCGTCTTAACCACTGGAGCCACCGCAGCCCCTTCATGCATGTATGTGCTGTCAAATCACAAATTTGTTTTCTACCATCAACTTTTATTTTTTCCCACTCCCTCTTGGATGGCAAAAAGTTAGTCCTCATGTACTGTGGTACCATAGGGTGCAGCAGTTTGCTTTTCTCAAGCATTGAGTATATTTGCAATTTTTCGTATAAAAGACATACTTTCTCTTTAAATCCCATTAATATGTCAAATAGTACAATTTTATACGCCAACGTAAAAATTATGCATTTTATTTTGCTAAATCAGTAAAAGAAGTTTAGGTTTGATCAGAAAGTAAGTACTGCATATATTTCCTCTTTCTCCAAAATTTCCTTTTTTTCTGGGGGAAAAATGAAAAAAACATGTCTGTTTATCTCCTCCCCCAGTGGCTGTAAAGTTTCTAGAAATTTTACATCTGCAGGATTACACAGGGAACCAGGAGTCCTTTCCTGTAACAAGGGCTAGGTCCCTCCTCCTGCAGAGATCTAGATTTAGGTCCTTGATCCTGCCATGATCTAAACAGTTGCATGTTCCTTCTGAGAGAAACTGGGAAATCACAAGTTGCCAACTGTGTGCTTGTCTACTTGCTCTAGGTTTTGGCTCTGGCTCCTTTGGTCCTGGGGGAGACTCTGGAGGTACAGGAAAGAGACAGGTCCATTCAGGGTGTTCCTGGCCTTCTGGTTCTAAGGGAACTGAGGTAGCCAATCTTCTCCTGGAGCTTCCAGAGTACACAAAGCATCAGGCATAGCAGGCAGCATAGTGAGTTTCTGATCTTCAAGGAGTTTTCTTCCTAGGTATAGGCTGGTCTAGGGCAGGCCTTGATATCTCCTTCCCCGGTGCCCACCACCCCAGGTGGGTCTGCACAATGCTTCTGAGGATACTACTGGTGAAACTGATGGAGAAGGACAAGACCATGTACATCTGCATCTGCTTTCCACGGACAGTCCTCAAGCTCATACCCGTTCCAGTCCATAAGGTTCTGGAGCCAGCCGTGACCAATGGAAGAATCCAGTATCTGGGCTACTTCATACCCCTCATTCCCATTAACATGTATTGGAGGTGGTGGAGGCTGGGGATTTGCAGTGGGTATGGTGATGGAGCAAGAACCAACAAAGAACAATGGAATAATGGGTTAATTGCTTGGGTATGAGGCAACTGCAAGCAATAGGCTATATGATTCATCTGTTCCAGGACAGGATAGGATCCGATGAAGCATGAATCCATCTTCTAGGAAGGAACAGTGTGTGGAGCACTGGCCATAGTAAGAGGGGGCAATTTCAGAAAAAAGATAGATGTTAGATCACAGCTACCAGCCTTGAAGAGTGCATGTTGTCTTCTGAGCAAAATCTGACCTGACCTGTAAATTTAAATTCCATACTTATACACCTAATTTCCAGCCTTTTTTTTGGGGGGGGAGTGTCCTGTAATGGTTCTTAAAAGTGGGGAACCCACAAGGACTTGTGGAGGATGTTTCATTTTCCCCTTCCCTGACTGTTTTCCTTCCATGAAAGTTCCCAGAGGCTCCCACCTCTTCTTGCTTCCTTGTCTCCTTCTGGAAGTAATCAGAATGGCAAAACCCCTGTCCAGCATCTGAGTCCCAACACATTGGTAAATGAAAATCCACTCACTGTGTTTCAGTTCATCTTAATGTCAGGACTGTCTCCTGTTAAAATCCATTTTTGCTCCAGACATGAAATAATAAAAGAAATAAGTTTATTTGCAGCCTGAAACTAGGAGATAAGCAATATATCTAATTCTCAACGTGGCCAAATTTATAGATACTTAAATCCAGAAATAGGAGCCATGAACAGACAAGACAGATCTTTCTAAAATCCTGGAAAAGCCCCAGGTTTGTAGAAAAATCTAAAAAATAAAAATCAGGGGGGGACCTCTCCCCAAATAATAGAAGCAGCACCTGTAGCTTTAAGAAATGGGTGCTCTGTTGGTTGCTGTTGTAGGGGTTGCTAGGCAGCCACAATAGTAGTGCCAGGTTTCAAGCCTTCATTTCTGTCAGTAAAAGGCAGGGGGAAGGGACACAGTCTTTTCCAGACCCATTTTATCTAGGCCCATTAGCAATCACTGCTGGGCCAGGCTGCTGCTCACTGCTATTCAACAGCAGCCAGAGAGGTGTAGTGATTAGAGTTTCAGACTAGGATCTGGAGGACCCAGGTTCAAATCCACAGTCAAAGGTGACTTTGGGCCAATCATATCCTCTCAGTCTGATATTAGTTAGGCTGAGAAGCTGTGACTGTTTTAAGGATAGGATGGAGGACTGGAGAATAATGTGAGTAACTTTGGGTCCCCAGTGTGGAGAAAGGTGGGGTATAAATGAAGTAAATGAATAATAAATACATCTTGAAATGGAGAGCAGATTAAAGGGTAGGTTGGCCGATGTGGGAAGGAGACAATTAAAGGGAGGAAATAGTATGGCAAGGGAAATACAGGGGAAAGTGAGGTTCCCTCCACAAGTCCTCGTGAGTCCCCTACCATGTCATTGGGTCTAGGCCCAGCATCTAGCACTATACATCTCAGCCAGATTTTTTGCAGGGAGAGTCTGCCATGGGTAGGAAATAAGGGAAAGCTGAAGGTGAGGGGGATAGATAAAAGTAGATTGCCTGGTGGGTGGGAAGGAAGCTTGAAAAGTGGAGAGGCTATGGGAGCTTTCAGGGAAAGGAAAGGGGAAATAATGGGAGAGGGGAAAATGTGATTCCCCCCGCAAGTCCTTGTGGGTCCCCTGCTTGTACGTATATGTTATACATGCATAGTATGAATCTGCCCTTTTCTTCTGCTACTGGATGAGTACTTCAAACTTCTTTTAAAAATCTGTTTATCAATGTTCTTTCATACCAGCTACTTTATTATTTTAGTCAAAACACTTATGATAGCTTAAGTGCTTCTGAAATCAACATGAAACAGAAATGTACCATAAGAAATGTCGGATGAGTTCACTTCTTCCAGAACTTTATTCCCACTTGTAGCTTAATGAGCAAAATCGGATAATGTGACCTGAAAGATGATAGTGTAATTAAAACTTCTTTTGCAGCCAGACTATTTCCTTTTGCTATTTAAAGCAGTGTATTAGTAAAGGATGAGTCTATTGTCCTCATTTCTTGACTTGAGTAATTTCCCAATTTTTAAAAGCAAATCACTGCGTCAAAGGGCAGGATTTCATTGCACGGTGCTGTGCAACTTCATAGATCAAAGCTGTTTTCTGAACAGTTTTGATTAACTATGAAGCCTCTCTGTTTTCAGAACTATTAAGTGTATTAAGATAGTGCCAAGATGAATATGGAGATGACCCTAGGTCTGTTTTTAGACTTGCAGGGGGCCAAATTCTATCAACAATCAAGATGCATTTGATAAAAGGCCAAAACAGCAGGGATCCCTTCTGTCGAGCAGTGGAGGAAGTTGTACATGATTTGGATTTAAGGATTAAAAATATTATCAATTTTCAGCATGATGTTGTGGCAGCTAGCTCTACTGGAATCAGTCCAGCCCGGGTAAGGGGCCTCCTTTTGTTCTTCTAATTTGCTTGATGTAAAAGATAAGGACATTTTCTTAATGCCCTGAAAGTAGACAATAATTCAGTAATACGGTATTGTTTCATGTAGCATGGCACCATCCAGTTTGCTGAGACAAAGTATCTGCAACATTTGAGGCTTTCTGTCATGTGGCTTTGCAAAAATGTTTAACTTGGAAAGTATTTCTGAAGAATTGTTGGATGAAAAAACTTAACTTCCCCCATCTTTCTAATGTTTATCATGCTGATTTATTTATTTATTTTATTTCATTTATACCCCGCCCTCCCCGCACGCGGACTCAGGGCGGCTTACACAGGCACAAAAGTGCGGTAAAAATACAAGTTAAAACAATTAAGGCACAACTGCAGTAAAAGTCAACGGTTAAAAGAGTTTAGGCAAAAATGCACATCTCACAGGATACATAAATGACTACAATACTTACTCCCTATTGCATATCCCAGTGGGGTCAAAAGGGGGGGGGATGCCATGGGCCACGATGTTTCAGCTGGCCAATCAGCCCGACGTGGCAGAACTGCTCTGCAGTCGCACGGTGGTGGTAGTGGCAGTGGCGGCTCCTACTCAAAAGCCTGGCGGAAGAGCTCCATCTTGCAGGCCCTGCGGAACTGTGCCAAGACCAGCAGGGCCCTGATCTCCTCCGGGAGCTCATTCCACCAGGTAGGAGCCACCACCGAAAAGGACCTAGCCCTTGTGGCAGCAAGTCTGGCCTCCTTGGGGCCCGGGATCACTAGGCAATGTTGTGACCCCGACCGAAGTGCTCTTTGGGGCCTGTGTGGGGAAAGGCGGTCCCTCAGGTATGCTGGACCCTGGCCATGTAGGGCACCAGCACTTTGAAGTGAATCCGGAACGCTATAGGCAGCCAGTGCAGCGCTTTCAGCACAGGTTGGATGTGGTCCCATCTAGAGGCACCTGCTACCAACCTGGCCGCCGCATTCTGCACCAGCTGCAGCCTCCGAATTTGCGACAAAGGCAGCCCCATGTAGAGAGCGTTACAGTAGTCTATCCTCAAGGTGACCGTAGCATGGATCACTGTGGCCAGATCGCCGCGGCTAAGGAAGGGGACCAACTGCCGCACCAG